TGACCAATGAAACTAAGCACCACAAAGCACCGTTTGCAAGCCAAGAGCTGCCGGCAGGGCCGGGTATACTTGCAGAGTCCTCCGGGTGAATCCCGGCAAGGCACCTCGGCCTGCGTTCTGCATCTGTCCGTGGCAGAGTGAACAAACCCTAGGTGATCCACATCCAGCACATCAAGCACATCAAGCACATCAAGAGCACCAAGCGCACCAAGCCCATCAAGCACATCAAGCTGGATCAGGTTTCCGGCTTCCGGATTCCCTGTGCAAGGCAGGCGAGGAGTTCGGTCGCCCCACGGCGCTAAAGTCCGGTCCGGCAAGGCGATCCTGATGACCTGATACGACAACGGCATACTTTCGAGGGACCACTGTATTGTAAAACGATTGTTGTGATATGTTGTGATTGTAGTTCGTACTGGTGCTGCAAGCGCCAATGCGGTCCCAAGTGTAGACTGCAATGCCGGGCGTCCAAGATGCACCGGCAGTCGGCGCGTGACCAAAGATTCAGCGTCAACTATGCCACCCGTTTCGAGTTTCGCATCGTGTTGAACCAGGAGGGATCTTGCAAGTTGCTGGGGGCCATGACTAGAGTGACTAGAGTCTAGAGCACTTTATGTACAGGGCCGGCCTAGGATGGGCGAGGCACCCTGGGCGAACACCATAGGCATGCTGCAGGATGTGCTACAGTCGGCTGTGACCTTTGGACAACGCAGTTTCTTTCTCAAGGCATGTCGACCAAAACAGCATGACGCCATGAAGTAAGATTTTGCGGCTCGAATTTGCAATTCCTGTATGTCTGCTAGCTACGACAATGAAATCGGCATTGTGAAACGGCCGCATTCCTACCAAATGGATCAAGACTGTCAGGCTTGCTGCTTTGTGGATGGAGTTGTCTTCTGACTTTAGAGGTTTGCCGTACAGAAAACGCCCTTGTCCAGGAGCTGCTCCGGGCAGCATATGGTGATGAGTGGGGTAAGACCGGCAGCTCGGCTCAGCTGAATCTTCGCTTGTAGTCGCGAGGACGATTACGGTAGTCAAGTCCTGGAGACGCACTACTGCAAGGTCATTCAGGTCTTCGATAGGAATGTGTTTCGTACTTGTTTAAGTCGGCAGCGTTGTGCCATACCAAGGCCCTAAGCCTTTGAAGTTGGTCTGTAAGGACCGGGCCCAATTACATCAGGACTACTGGTTTGATTTACCTTGTCAGTTGCATGCCCCACCCACTGCCGCCCTACGGGACGTGGGGAAAAAAGGTTGCACCCGTGTGACTGGGTGCCCTTTGAGGATCTTCGAGGCATGTGTTACGCCATGTGTTACGCCTCATGTGGTTGCTTGTGCATAGAGATTCTGCGCTGTCCGACTGCGTGCTATCATGAGTGCCCAGCTTCGCTTCCACCCATTACAGTTTAGGAACTAGCACTTTTCAGGAGAAATTTCAGGTTGCTCAATGATAAACTGCTTCGTGGCATGCTGCGTGTCGACCCTTTTTTGTTCGCAGTTGTGGCTCAGGTCATGACTTGGCGGGCCACCAGGCGAGTCTCCACACACCACCCAGTGCGGTGAGGATTTGCGGTTTTTTCTCCAAAGAATCCAATTGTGCAGATATAAGTTCTGAGCCAAGCTCATCCTTAAACGTTGGCGGGCCCAGAAAGCATTCAAAACCGTTGTTTTCTGGGCGAGTCCTGCTTATGGCATGAGGATGGTACCGCTCATCACATGGCATTTTGGGAGGCGCTGCGAATATGTTCCCAAATTCCCTTCGAATGCTTTACGCACTAACCTGTGTTCTCGCGGGGCCTGTCGCGGTCATTATCGGCATTTGCTTCGGTTGAGTTGGCCGGTGGCCAGGGCTCCTTTTTAAACGAGCATCAGGGCCCCATGGAAGGCTTTGATAAGAGCAAACACAAGCAGAAACCATTCTTCATGGACCGTGACGGTGATTGTACCCTCGTGGAACGTGCAACGAAGCGACGTGAACATGTCTGGCGCAAGACAAACTACATCGAGAAAGCACACTATTGTCCAGCAGACACGGAGGCCAGAACATACCAGAACTGTCTCGCCAGCATGTAGGGCAACAGATGATGTAGGTCCTGAACGTGCTTGAGCCTGTTTGAGCGGAGCATAGCGGAGTTATGTCTGGTTGTTTGGTTGCAGTTCACGGCGGCGTGCTCGGCAGGCCGTCGGCGCGGTGGACGTAGCCAGTGTGGTCGAGCATCTCATCAGCATTTTGCCATGCGTAGGCACGGGAGAACGCTCAAAGACCCTAGCAAACGAGCGCATCCCATTATTCCTCAGAGTCGCCTGCGTGAAACACAGCATTTGTTTAGTGTGTGCTTGCAAAAAGTTTCGACGGTTGAGAGATCCTTGAATTGCCTGAGATGTCCTCTCAGTTTCTATCCTTGCCAGTCGAGGCAGGGTCGCGGCAGCAGTCTACTCTACGGAGTCCCGGTTGCAAAGCTGTGGTAGAGCCGACATCAGAGATGCATAGCAGCACAGCCATGCAGAACTTCAAAGCAGCTGTTGATCGAGTCAACTCAGGGGAATTGCTGCCTGAAGGCGCGCTTTGGGCTGGGTCTAATGGTGTTCTGGCACTGCCTCTTTTCAACACATTGCAAGGATGGCTTCAACATCACTTCACATGGTTGTTTACACTCTTTGCCGTGTTGCTAGGTAGGCATCACTGCCTGTGCACGTCATGTTGAATGACTTGCCACGTGAAACATCTCGTGTAGAATATTGCCATTTCGGTAAGTGGAGACCTCGGTGTACTTCAAGACCTGCCGCAGACATGCGCACATTCGTTCCGGGAGACCTTCGATATGTGACAAAGGTTTCAGGTACCCACTTTAGATGTCCACGGATCTGCGCTGTGGTCATCTTTGAGCCCTGTTTAGAGGCTTCCAATCCAAGCTATTGGGCAGCTGTGGCCAGCCTTTGCGATTTGACTGGGGTAAGCGGCATGCGAATTTGGCTACCCTACTGTAACTTCGACATCTAAATTTCAGACTTTAGACTTCAATGCAGTTTCAGCGCAGTTTGATCAGCTAGAAGCAGCTGCTGTTTGAGTGCCGATTGGCCAGCATGCGCCAACTTGACATACCCGGAAGTGCATGCTCAACATTCGATGGATGTCACAATGGATGTCCGTACAGAAGTATCACATGTTAACACCCTCGGTTGAGGACCTCGCTCCGAATCCGATTCTTTTGCGTCAACTTGTGCCGTCACCCACCACATCCCCTGACCCTGAGAAATCTGAGAAGGCGTCGAGCAGCTGGTACTTGCCTTCGGCCGACAGGAAAGGCCACATTGCATCCAATGGTCTAGGATGTCTAGAAGGAGGCAGGAAGAGACGGTAAGAGATAGCAACCGAGTGTACAGATGTGTACAGCAACTGCAGGAGCCGCTGAACGGGCCGATCTTGGAGCTGGGCATGGGCACTGGCAAGGTTGCCCTCCAAATCTTCCTTATGTTGCACGGCCGCTTGACTCATTGACATTGACGGGCACGCAACGTGCAGCGGTCATAGAGCATAGAATTGGAGGAATTGAGTATGCCATACAGTTGGCCCTGCGCTTTCGACTGCGCTTTGCACCCTCAGTGGACGTGTTCGGGCTGGAGCTGGCGCCGAGCCGCTACGCACTGGCGGTGAATGCGCTCGAAAAGCTCGCGCAAGCGAGCCAAGGAAAGCGCTTCACCCTCCAGGCGCCTGTGATGTGCACGTGTTGTGCACGTTTTCGCACGTATATATGTAGTTTCTGAGTGCAAGGGTGCTGGCTTAATGAGTTTGATGTGGAACAGACCCCACGAAGTCAAGTTGGCGAAGCGTTGCAGGAAATGGGAGAGGGTTCGGCACTGCTGGACCACGAGCACGGCGTGCAGTGCGAGTTTCGTTGCGCTTCCCTCCTCGATACACCAACTCAGATGCTGCAGCGAGCAGCTGCTGTTGTTATGGAGGTGTGCCTGCCGCTTGAGGTGCAGCGCGAGGCCAGCAAGCGGCTCCAAAGCTGCCAGTCTGGCTGCAGCATCGTCAGCCACTCGGCCCCGGTTATGAGACATCGTAGACAACGCTGGAAACTGAGAATGTTCATGTGACTTCACGCTGATTTGGGTTTGGCCCCCTTGACATATGCAGTCTCACATTTGGAAATTGTGTAGACAGGTAGAGAATTGAATTGAGAGGCATGGGCTGCAGAAGAAGAAGTGAAAGAAACGAGCATCTGCTTGGAGATGTGATGCCGAGGCTACTCGGCGCTTCGTGGTTTGGTGGATGGCTGTCGCCTTGCACCTGTCAAAGGTGTAGGCGACGGGCGCGGAGGCATCTCTCTTGCCGCATCCTGGAAACCAGTGGGCCACGGCTTCGCTTTCTACGAGATGGCAAATTCTGCTGAAGATGCTGCAGCTGCTTGGGCTGCAGCTGCAGAAACGACGAAGTCTGCAGCAGTTGTTCAGATTGACGCAACTGGATGCCCCTCTCGTGCCCGACGCTTGCGCTACACAGATGACGTCTTGGCTGACCCTGTCTTGGCCCGGTATCCATGGGATGAGGGTGACAGGATCTTGGTCGGCTACTCCTGGCTACCATTCCCTGACCTCGGAGATCCGGATGATGGCAGTGCCGGGGGACTGGATGGAGTGACCTGGATGCCGGCATTTGTTATATCCGTTTTTGAAGACAACTTCGTCAACGTTTGCTATGAGGATGATGGCACAGTAGAGGAAAGGGTGCACCCTGATAGGATACGAATTCCAGGAAAGCGCCGGAGGGACCAGCTGTCAGACGCAGTGACCTAAGAAAAGGCTGAGCTTCTGTTGGGGTTTAGGGTTGGGACACCCGGCCCTAGGGAGGTTGTCGCACAACGAAAGGCCTTAAGGACGAAGAACGCAGAGATAGAAACAGAGACACCACGAAGAAGGAATGAAAGAACGAGAGAGACCCAAGGGAGGCACAGAGAACATTGCAAGCCAGGGTACGGCCATACCCCAACAACACATGGCAGGTGAATGGGGAATCAAGTTTTGGCCTCATCCGAAGGACCGCTGTGAGTTGTTGGTGCCGTCTTGCGCACACCATTTTCAGTGACATTTGCGAATTTACGTCTAGTCGCGCCAAGCTACGTGCGGTTCTGCACTCACGAGAAGAGATGTCATGCTTCCCGCTTGCAGCAAAGGGCTGCGCAGAGAAACAAGGGAGACTCTTCATTTCTGCCGTAGTCTGAGAGTTGCGTGACTGAACTGATTAACAGCGCCGCTTGCAGGAATCGCGGAGCCCTGCGCCAGGGCCGTTCTGCCTTGGCCTCTGTGCATTACTTGTGTATCGTATGCGTATATGCATGTACACACGAGAAACTTCGGTTAAGGTGCGATTGCTGTTGCGAGATTGTAGCTTTTGTGGGGCATGAAGAGTCGCGGCTGTTCTTGACTACTACCGCTTAAGTAAGGCTACCGCAAGCACTAACAGCACCAACAAAAAGCTTATTCCATTTCTACAGGTGTTGACTCAAAAAGCTTGAAGCGACCGGCTGGAGCAAAAGCTTGGATAAGCTTGGTTGCGTGTGGGCTAATCTGCGTTGCTCCACTTTGCAGACTTTGCATGAATATCTACCCTGTCAACAGCCTGTCAACTACCCTTGCATTGCAGCACAGTACATACCTTCCGACATGGCGCTGGCGCATACATGCGCGCAGATGCAGTACTGGTGGTCGTACGCACTTGTCTCGTAAGCGTTGTTGATGTTGGGGGTGGGACGGCAGGTGCCCGCGGACCAGAAGCAAAAAGCTGAGGCGGCAGAGATACAATACGATGTGAGAGCTGATTGCCTTTGCTAGGCCTAGACTCAAGACTTCCCTCTCCTCACACTTGTTTCCACCCATGGCATGTCCGGGCTCTCCGAGAGTGCTTAAGCTGGCAGGTCCTTTACCTCTTTGGACAGCTCGATCTTGCAGCCTCAGCTCGGACCTTGGACCTTGGGCCGCTGGATTTTAATCAGTCTGTACAGCTTTGGCACTTCCCTTTTGGGCAGGGCTCCCCACTGTCCAGGCACCCCAAATCTCTGTGAGAGCATCTTTGTCGTACGTTGGCCCTGGCCCTGCTGAACGGTTTGAGTTATATTGGCCAACAAGACCTTTACATCCAGAAAGCATTTTGCAGGCATATGCAGGCTCCAGGCAAACATGCCACGTTCTCCGGCCTCAAGGACTCGCATCACTATTCCCTGGCAGGACGGCAGGAAGAACATGGCCTCAGAGCTCTTTCGAAGGATCATGGAGGCTGGGTGCCCTTGGGTGTGCTGAGAAGCCTTCAGGCGCCCGCGCGGCTCAAACAGAAGAGCTGAGCTGTGCAGGTCGATCCTGCACTCGCCACGGCAGGTTTGACTGCCACGCTGCTCTGGCCTATCCCTGAATGCATCTGGTACGGGACATGTTGATTCGCTTCACATTGACCGATGTTGCTGCAAAGGTGTTGACTGCACCAGGTGTGTGAAACTTGCAGGCTTACAACATTTGCTGCAGCTTTTTCTGGTAGCCTTAAATGTCAACGAAATGGTGACCAAGGAACACTTTGCTGAAGGCGTACAAGCCGTGCAGGACGCAAGTTGAATTCCTCATTTGGGTATCGAGCAGAAGGTCGCTTCCTGCAACCACCCATGACTGTTTCAGGACGGATCCTGCATCTCTCAACGAGGAAGCGCTTGCAGAAATCATGCAGGCGTGGGAAAGTTCCCGTCTGTTCCCGTGCTTAGCCTTTGTCTTGCACACCCGCTGCCGGTAACGACAAAAACCTGGAGGCCTACCTCCAAGCTGGACAGACTGCCCCCATGGAATGGTGGATAAGGCAGCACAGAGTCCAGAATACATCCTTTGTCATGTCTTGTGAGAAAATTTTCGCATCCGTGTTGAGGTTCTGGGGACGACTGGGAGAAGACCAAGCTGGAAGCCCGCCTTCAGCACAGCTGATTGGAACACCGATGAACACTGTAGATGTTTTAGCAAAAGCCGCGTGACTTGATGACTAGCCCTTGCCATAGCCTTAGCCACACCGTTTTACTGGAGCATGATGGTGCGCGGATTGGGCCATTGCCATGCTCGGCTGTAGCAAGGCGTAACAAGTTTGGAAGGACGTGCTGTATTCTGCTTGTGCGGAATCAACAGGCAGCAAGCCTGGCAATCCATTTTCCAACCCTGCTCCGTACACACCCAACTGGCCGAACTTCTCCCAGTTTACACGCGAAGAACACATGATCTTTTGTGGACATGCTGAGATGCCACTCCCGCAACATACCCGTTGCGTACGCAGAGTCAGCTCAACAGTAGTCTTCATGCATTGCATGGTGTTTTGCCAAGGTATGTGGTGGCGGCGTCAGTCCTCATGAGGCAGCACACGGCAGCGGCCGTGCAGGACGGTCGCAGGCGTGCGGAATAGGGTATCACAAAAAAGAGGGGGGTGTCGGCCGGGGGCTTTCTTGTGCTGCGGAGATTTGGCCACAATTGTTTCATTGTAGTGTGAGTGCGGTGTGAGTGCCGTGCTCCGGAGGTATCTGAAACATTTTGTCCAGCAGCCCCGTGCCTTGGCAGCACGAGCACGGAGACGACAACAGACTACAAGCGATGTGTGTCGCCATTCCCTCTGTCAGGGCCTAACACGGGCTTGGCAACTGAGCTTGGACAACTCCGACGAATGATGCAGGACGTGACTCGAGTCATTCTGGTCTAGTCACTACACTCGCAGTGACTTGGACTGAAGACTGCGCAGGGCATGGCTGCGGGCCATCGCAGCCTCGTTCCCTATCAGGAGGCCAGGCCAAGTTACTTATGCCAGAATTGTTTACTTCATCCGGGGGGCTCGTAGCATTTTCTTTCCTATGCAGGTCTGGGCGACCTTTCAGTCGTGGCCTTGGGTTTCTTAATTCCTTTGGCGGTGCAGCTAGCGGAGCTGATTGGGCTTGAGTTTAGTCTTGCTGAATGTCGAACAAGGTCCGAGGGGGAGGGAGGAAATAAGAATTGAAACGGTCCGCCAGAAGGGACTTCTTTTTTGAGTTGGCCGTGGCTAGGGGTTGGGGGGGCTTAGAAGTTCAGGTCGAGTGTCTGTGAGTGGCTAAGGGCTTGCAGGCTCAGACGTTCTGTCCCACTTTGTCCCACTACCGCGTTGCTCGAGTCTCCAAGTCCTTCTGCAGTGTGTCATGAGTTTAGTTATTGTCGTCAAGGACCTTGCTGCTCACTTCCACCCACTTGGAGCCGGATGATGGGGTCTTCCAAATCGTCGTCGAGGCCTGCATTCCTTTAGGTTGATGCACGAGGGTCATTGTACTCGCTGTGTTCCATTTCCCGCATCAAGATGAGGGAAGCTTGCTGTTGGGTTTTGAGTGTTGACATGGCTACTAGCTGAAAGCTGTAGCTTAGTGAGTTTATTGGCGGGGCGTTGTAGGGTTGTATTTTGGCCGCTGGCCAAGAGAAAACGACGGGCTGCAAACAAGAGGCAAGGAGATTGAGCGGCCTGCAGAGGGCTCTTCGCTTGAAATGGCTGGGCTGAGGCTCACAAGTTGAGGCTTTGCAACAGCCGCGGCCCATTAAATCTCCAGAAGAGGCGGATAGCCAAGCGGCATGAAAGGATTGACCTCCGGCTTTCGACAATGCAGATGCATGCGCAGCCCATGATGGCCGAGATAGAAGGGGACCCAGCTTGAGAAAAACATGCCATACCCTATCGGCCCTATCAAACCCTCGCATGGGGCCACTGGCTACGTAGGCACCATTGGAGAAGAGTAACCCTAAGAAATGGATATGGCAGGCGTAGCATAGTCTCGGGACATTTCTCGGATGCCTTTCGAGCTGCTCTCGGACAGAAGAGGCTTTCCTGGAAGCGCAAGACGAAGTGGGCGTGGTGGAATGGCTCTCCCGAGCCAGGCAAGGCTGCTGAACTGAGAGTGTGGTGTCCATAAGACGCACATCTCGATCTCTTCACTGTCCATACTGTTCATTTGCCTCATTGGTGACCCATTAGACCATTAAATGTTTAAGTCGATCTCACCATTCGTAAGTCTCCGTTCCATTCTCCGGTTGTTGTGCATGGAATTGCCATCACGTGCGCCGCAGGCTTGCCGGATGTACCCCGCAGAGTTGGAAGCATTCGGAGGCACTGGCCTTGCCCTCAGCTTTCTGCGACTGCCAAATTTTGCTCGCGGCTGCACTGCAGCTGTACCATATGTTCGGCTACACTCGGCAAAAAATCGGCGAAAGCCTGCGTCAGCTCGAGTCTGTGGAGCAAGCATAAGTATCCCAGAGTCCTAGAGAAGCTGCATGCATGGCGTTGGCGGGAGTATGAAGGTGCATGTGCAGCAAGCCCCCTAACATGTCGAATTTTATCATGATTTGATCAACATTGGGTACCTGTGCCTCACCGTGTCGTTTTGTGGTTCGGAAGGGCGCCTGCGGTCGATAATCAAGATGCCATGCTGGAATTCCATGCCGGCGAAAGAAAGGGTACCGGTTCATTTCCTTTGGTCCAAGGTGCCCAGCACGGTTTAGTCTGAAAAAAGGCGGGGGGGTTCAGGCACAAAGCCTGTCACAGCCTGAGTTATTGTGCTCCTGCCCATTACAGATGGCCATTCAGCCACGAGCCCGCCGTTTCCCCGTTACCGAATGTTCATTTCTCTTCCTCTGGTTCCTCCGGTTGTCCGAGGGCGCGGGGAGCCCTTTGCATTGTTATAGCTGCTACATGACCCCTTCCTGTAAATTTCCCACAGCAGAAGGTCCCCAGTCGAGGAATGTTGCGAACCCTTCGTGCCTCCAGAAATTATCCACTTTGTCGATGAAGGCGATACCATGAAGCGCATTCGCACCCAAATGGCTGGAGCATCTTCCCGGCCGCGCACGTGCCTGGGGCGGGTGGCACTTTTGAGATCCTCCTTTTTCTGCTTACCAGTGGTCAACTGCTGCTGAGCGATGGTTGGCCCAGCTGGAGGTGGGACGCTTTGTCTCGGCTGGACTTTAAAAACTCGCTCGATGCCTGATGCCTTCGACGCGCTCGACGCCCACGGCCATGGGATTCCTAGAGTTTGTAGCTATGAAGTGAGGGGAGGCCATCCCTTGCCTGGCCCGGGGCGATGTGTCTTGCAATGCCACAGCTACCCGACGCCCGAGCCCTGAGTTGCTCTGACGCTCGGGTTTTGCCCGTGTACAGCGCGTCCGCCTGTCTGGACCTGTCCCCCTCACTTTCTGGACTCGAGTCCCGACATGATCCGACATGGCATGGCCTTGCTGACCGATCCGCGTCTTAAACTTCAAACCAAAGAAGTCTAGAGTCTAGGGCATGTGCAAAGCTGGATTTGCCACCGCTGGTCATGACAGCCTGTGGCTTTTAAGCCTTCAGCCAGATGTAGCTACGTGCTGGATTGACCAATGCAACCGGTCAGGTTTGTGTTGCATCACCCTTTATGTGTGTTGACTTGGCAAGTGTGACCTTTTTTATGTGCACTCTTTGCCGTGCACTGACCACTCAGGCACAAAGGCTGGAAGCTATAAAGCAGAAGCGGCGGCAGGCATCGCAACCAATAGATCCTGTCAGTTTCATCACAGCTGCATTTGGCTATGCTGGTGTCGAAGGGCCTTACAGTCTGCTGAATATCGGCACCGCCCACCAAGTAACCACAAAGTCAAGAGTAAGCTTTTTGCCTTGATGCCGAGAGAGGCAACGCTCCCGTTGCTGACAAGCTGAACCCCCCGCACATATTCCAAGCTAGCAACCGCAAAGCAAAGCACCCGACGTATGCCTAAGTAGATCCTCCCTTTGGGAGCCTTCCTTGTTGAAATCTGGCTGTGGCGTTCAGGAGATGGCTTGGCGCAGGATGGAGAAGAGAAGAGTACTGGATGAAAAAGATCAGGACGAAAATTGGAGGGCAAGTGGGTTGCACATGGAATTGCCATAAGGCGTGAAGTTTGCTGCTTGGGTTTCTTGCAATCTGAGGCCAACCTGCGTTTTCTTTGCTGCCCTGGCTCACGAGAGCTAGCCAACATGCACACAGCGAGCCTGAATGCATGAAGCCTATGCTTCTGACTCTCCGACTGAACCAGCCAACACCAAGAACCTGCATCTCAGTCTACCTAAACCCAAAGCATCCGTCAACCCCTGAGCCTTTTTTCTAACCTTTTACCCACAGTTCCTTCAGTTCCTTGGGAGTTCCTGCTCCCTTCGACAATGCCATGGGGGAGAAATCCAAGCGCAGGGCTGCGCGACAGGCCGGACGTGACCTGTGCGGGACCAGACATTGTTGGGGTGATCGGTTGTTTGGAAAGTTTGTTTCTGGTTGGGGGGGGGGAAGGGGGGTTAGGGTGAGCGGCTTTTCAGGATGACAACACACGAAGCACCCTAAAGTCCCTAACGGGCCTTCCTGGGTGACAGCATGGGTTGAACAGTTTTTCCCCGTGAGAGTTTTGCGGAGGAGGCGATCAAGCCGGCATGGGCCTTCTTCCTGGGGCTCGGAGCCTTGACGTGAAACATCGGGCACAGCGAATCCTACCATTCCCACATCCTCTGGGGAACCAAGAGAACTAAGAGGCTCGAAGTCGGCATCTCATGGTCTGAAGAATGCCAAGTCACCTTAAGGTTCCGTTCTCATCGTTTTTCATTTTGCGCCTTGGCATGAAGGCAATGGTGTTGCATTGGCCAGCTGTCTTGTGCATCGGATCGTTGTGAATGATGTTGGGTGATCTTGAGTGACTGTAAGCACGGTTGAACTGACACGGAAACACTGTTAAACGCCGTGGCTGCTGAATCTCCCAAGCTCCAGGTCTTCCGCGGCAGAGGTGGGCTGAGACAGAGAGGAGCTCCCAGCCAGGCATCGAGCCGTAAGAGAGGGAACATGCAGTTGTTGCAGCGTTCGCATTGTGATCCGAAGAGCGGAGCAAGCCTGGAGTTTACAGCTGCGACGGAGCCCGAAAATTACTATGATGTCAGACAGCGCCTAAGAAACGAGATGTGAGTCTATGACCGCGTCATTCCTAAATCGAAGCGGGCCCCCGTGAAAGTTCGATGATCTAGTAACATCTGCCACGGAGATTGTGGCGACTTCGCATAGCTGTAGCTGTGGTGTGGCGTGGCCACAAGCAGCACAAGCATTCAGATACCTGCCCCTTGGGCATCTTGGGGCATCTTGCGGTTGTGGCGAATCACAGAGGCATGCTGCGCCAGGCTGCACTCACCTCTTTGCCCAATGCTCTTGCGCAGGCACAGGTCGCTCGGGCGACCCTTGGCGTAGCGCCACGGACAGAAGGTTGCTGGGATCTGCTTTGTCCATCGTGCTAAAGAACAGCCTCATGCATGTCCGGTGGGAGTGCCCCCTCAGTGACTCAGTGTCGCGAAAGAGGTTGTTTCGGGTCTTGGTTGCTTATCAGCAGCGTGCCAGGTGTTTCCGAAGTCCCTCCAGGATTCATGGCCATGCAGGGCCCGACGGAGGAAGAACTCAGGCGACCAAGGATGTGTGTAAAAAGCCATCCCAAATTCAGCACATGCAGGGTGCCACGCTGCCAGGCAGTCGACTTTCGTCCTTAGCGAAGCAGGCAGCTCAACTCAATCAAATGGAGCCGCTTTGTCTCAGCTTGCTCGGCCTTGCGAGACTCAAAGGCAGCCTTGGTAGCCTTGTCTGAGGCTCTGACTGTCCAGATGGTTTCTTGCGTCTCTTAGAGCCGGAAGAATGTGAAATCGCAGCAGAGATGTTGCACAAGAGGCCACCGATCAGAGCAGCTGCATTTGCACATTTGCATAGCAGAGGTGGCCTTGCATACTGTGGCGCAAGTTTGCAGCAATGGAAGGTTTCAGGACATGGATCCCAAAATTGATTCAGAGTTTCGCGGATGCCAGTGCTGCCGGCGGCAACGAGAAATCCTTGAAGCGGCGCATTTCCGAGTACTTGCAAGGGTGAAGAAAGCTAGACACAAAATACCTTGGGACTGTGACCCTGCCAAGCTAGTCTGGAAGCAAAGACCGCAGAAGCTTGATTGTGCAAGGTGCAGAATGTGTGCGCATGAGATCATTCGGAGTCGGTTTATAACTGAGGTTCCGTGTGCCAGACAACGACGTGCACTTCAACTCGCGAGAGGCCCCTTCCTTGTCCCGCGTCGCCCTGCCTGACCCAGTGTTAGCTAAGAGCTGGAACAAATTGGAGCAGACAGAGCTGCATGTTTAGTTCATGTTAAGTTGAAGCCCGTCATGTTTGCAATGTATGCATCTGGGAGCCCCCGCGGCTTCTGCGCACTGAGCACTCACTCGTTTGATGTCACCACTGTAGTGCGCTGTCGAGCAAGAGCGAGGAAGATTCAGAGGAGCCCTCCTTGCATTTTACATTGATTTTGCATTCCTCTTGAACGCACAGCATGCGCATCCCACAAGCCCAATCCGCCAGGGCTCTGGCAACCGAGATCGCAAGTCCATTTGCCGAAAGCCACCCGCGGGTGGTGCACAACAGCCGGTGCCATCGCCGCAGTGTCAGTTCAAAGTTTGCAGCTTTTACCCACCCACCCACCCACCCATGTAGTCATGCAGTTCTTGACTCACGCACCTTGGAATAAGTAAGGCAATTTGCTGAGGCCACAGGCGATCTCAATCCTGCGCCGGCGCCACCGTCGCCTGCTCCAGCCGTGGCTGCAGTCAGCCAGGCAGAGCCTTCAGTGGCCGACAGGCGACCTTGAAAGCAATCCGTACTGCATTTTGGTGTAAAGCAATTAGAAAGACATTTTTGGTGTAAAGCAATTAGACAGACATTAGTTCATGTAAAATGTAGTAGATGAAATATGGCGCTGCATCTCCAAGGTCTGGGGTGCGGCATGTAGTAGGCCCCCGGCATCATTTTGTGACGCAGGTCGTTTTCTTGACAAAGCGACTGTATTTGTGATAACTTCTTCGAGACAAGCCCCTCTGCGTGGAGGCCTCCAAGATGTGCCCGCGACATACGAATGAAATAACAGGGGTAGGACTTACGAATGTTTCAGTAAATAGTGGGGAAGCACCGCGACATAGCGCTAGTTTGATTCACAGCCTAATAACATATGATGGTGCATGCACGCAGGAGTGTGGATGGAAAGTACATCATGACCGAGACAGAGAGCAATGGTTGCCCTGCGGGACACACTACCGTGGGCAAAGAGGACACGCATGTTCTGGTAAGTCGCACAAAGCTCGATGTGCTGCGCCTCGCTTTGCGAATGGCATCGGAGTGAGCCACCTCAAGTGTGGTTGCTTGTGGACGATTCGTTCACCATGTGCTTTGGATCCTGGAATATTTGCTCCCTCTCCTGTTAGCACCAACCCCTATATCAACTCCACAAGCGGCCCCAGTGCTCCCAGCATTTGCAGCAGACTACGGATACGTGAGAGTTATCTGCGATTGCCCCAATCTTCAGCACACTTCAGAGAGGCTTAATTGTTTGTTGCTCCGCGTGGTTAACCAGAAGCTGTTGCCTACGGGCACCTGGGACCGACCTGTGTCGCTGTGTTCTCGGACCTTTCGAAATTTTGATGGGCTTCGGGTGTGGCACAGTTTGGAGTTTGGAACTGTTTTGGAGGAATGTGCCGTAGCTGCCAAGAGCTTCGACAAGACCTTCCTCGAGGACAATTCTTGTGGTTTCGCATTCAGAAGCTCTTGGCGAAAGCCTCTTTTTTTACTTAAATCCGCACCCCCCCCTAAGACTCCAAGACTCATCAAGTGCCTCTCAGCTTCCTTATAAAGTCTTACAAGTCTTTTCGCTCTTCGCATCTCATTTTGAGCAGGAGGCCGGGCCTGCGGAGCTGGATCCGAAGGGCTGCAACTTCCGGGTCCCGGACAACGCCCCTCCTTCTCCGAAAAAAAGAGAGCTCTAGAGAGAGAGAGCAGACTTCTCTAAAGGCTTATAAGGGATATCCAGCAAGAATGCCCTGTAGTAGGGCAAAACATTCTCAGTGTACTTGGGGCTTTTGGACTCAGCTCGTACTTTTTGCATGGTTTTGTTGGCTGTGCTGTTGCAAAGAGTCGCACTTAAAATAGTCAATGGCATACGATCACTGGGTGTAGCCTGGTCCTTCGCTGGGACGGCATCTGAGGACGTCTATTTCAACACAGAGGCAGAGGGTGCACCCCATGAGTCCCGGAAGGCGAGCGCAGTGTGCACAGCCTCGTTCGAGCCTGCATGGGATGTATTGGCATTGTGATGCTCCTAATGTCTCACAAACACGGTAGCAATCTGCAAGAATCTGTAGCATCTTCCATGCCGCCTTCCGTTCCCCCTTCTTTCCCCTTTCCCCCCCTTTCTGCCTCCATTTATTACAGGTCCTCTGCCGTGCTCCTGGCGTGGGGCCGCCGACGGCCGAAGGAGCACAAGAGCCATGCAGTAGCCAACGCATTCCAGAAGGCAAAGTTTGCAGATTACGCTGGATTTGTTGCGACGAGTTGATTTTGCTGATATGAGTCAAGAAGTGGAAAGCCTCGCTGTGTCGTGGTTGCAGCCTCCAGGAGCGCAGGCTTCCGCAGATGCGGCTTCTGCCCCTGCTGCGACTGGAAAGTATGCAGCTGGATTGATAAGTCGAGGGGGAGAAATCTGGGATTTCATGCTGGCGCTGAATGTAGAAAGTGTCCTTCCCGAAGATGCTGGCATTCAGCGGTTCTACCTGCATACCAAAGGAAGATTGTAGAGCGAGAGAGAGAGAGAGAGAGAGATACAAAAAGCATTCCTTCGGGGCGGCCGCCTCAGGGGCTACGTGCAAAGGAAGAAGGAAGAGAGAATACCTAGGGTTGCCTTCCCTCATCCCCCACCTCAAATCTTTCCCGAACAATTTCAAAGCCAATCTCTACTGAACGTCCCCTTCGTCACTGAAAATGCCCAAGGTGGTGCATAGATACAACAGTGTATGCAAGTCGACTAAACATGCCGTGCACCAACCGAATAGCAACAGTTAGCTGTGCACAGCCCGAAGCCGTGCCATGTGGCCGGATCGGATCCCGTTCCAGGTAGCCCTTATGCGTGCAGAAGCAGAAGCAGAAGCAGAAGCAGAAGCAGAAGCAGAAACAGAAGCAGAAGCAGAAGCAGAAGCAGAAGAAGAAGAAGAAGAAGAAGAAGAAGAAGAAGAAGAAGAAGAAGAAGAAAAAGCAGAAGAAGAAGAAGAATAAGCAGAAGAGAGAATACCCTTGAGGGATGCCTGCAATGGAGAAGTACCCAAGTCGAGCGAATTCGGAGGACTCCCGTCGAGAGCGTGTAGGGTTTGGGGTCTTTCGGGAACTTTGGAGGGTGTTTGTATTTCGGGGAGGGGGGTTTTAGTGTTGAACAAGGACAAACAGCCTTCTTGCTGAACCGCTGCTGAACCGGTGGTACGATGCACCGTTGCCGTTAGGAGCCGAAGCATGTCCCGTTCACAAGACTCTGGACCCTGGGCGCGCGCAGGGAGGAGCCCCAAAGACCCTCTGAGAAGAAGAAGAAGAAGAAGAAGAAGAAGAAGAAGAAGAAGAAGAAGAAGAAGAAGAAGAAGAACAGGAGAGAGATAGAGAGTCAGAGAGTCAGAGTCAGAGAGTCAGAGAGTCAGAGAGTCAGAGAGTCAGAGAGTCAGAGAGTCAGAGAGTCAGAGAGTCAGAGTCAGAGAGTCAGAGTCAGAGAGTCAGAGTCAGAGAGTCAGAGTCAGAGAGTCAGAGTCAGAGAGAGCCAAACTGAGAACAAAAGAGAGCCATACTCTCGTTCAACCGTCTGACCTACAGTGTACAGCTTGATTTGGTGCAGTTGGGGAGGTCTTCGGGGGCAGGTTGCTGTGGTTTGGAGTTCATTGCTGGATGTGTGAGGTGTAATCGGCGCCACACATGTTGTGTAGCGCCGACCGGGGGAAACGATTGCCGTGCATGACATCTGTCTGCGACACAAAGACTGCGCTTGCCGTCAGGTCTTGGCAGATGCTGGCTCTGATGCCTGTCCGGCTGGCTACGAGAAGATACTGACACCAGAGGCTTGGGGTCCTAAGTGAGCAGGGAAGAGTAGGGGAGAACATTGCTGATCGGATCCTTCCGAAGGAAGGCCTGCCACCGATAAGTCGTACATCAGCGGCAGCGGCGTTTAGAACGCTCTCCTACGGCTGCCCTCCTATACAGGCTAGGGCTGTTGGGATCACCCACAGCCAGGACTGCCAAGCCGGGGCGAACTCCCTGGACAAAGCCTTCCAGGAGGCAGCGTTCGAGGCGGAGTCGGACCCGAAAGGCCGGCTGCAGCCACGTGCCGTGAGTTAGCAGAGTAGTCTTGAGCTAAACACATGCCTGGTTGACTCATTGACTTGAGCCAACTGCATCACAACTATCCAAAAAAGCATTGGGCACGGGCCCTTGCTCAACATATCCAGTTTAAGGCTAAAGGAGACACCCCGGTCACAAGTGTAGGCCTCGGTCCGGTTGTCCAGCCATGTCCGGCCGTGAAGCATCCAGCTTTTGCTAATGGAGTCTGATGCGTGGACTGATTCCGGTGATCCGAAAATGTAAGGGCCCATGCTTCGGCTTCCAACTCGAGTCATGATGCGGAATGATACCGAGATGCCTTAAGTTCCGGTTGTGCCCAGCGAAAGTGAGTACTGTAATCGCATTTTGGTTGAACACGGACACAGATTATGCCTCAAGATTGAAAAGCATGCGTGTGAGTTAGTTCGAAGTGATATGTGCTCGGAGCAAGGGCCCACATCAAGGGGCCACCTTCGTTTCTTCGAAACTCGGTGGCCGCAGCCTCTACGAAAGTGGCCATTAAAGAGTGTTGTAGCATAATTAATGGATGACCTTTCGGAGTTGCACAGGAACGTGTGGCAAAGCAAGCAGTCAGATCGAAGAAAATTGGGTTGCACGGCGCAGGCTGCAATTACCGCATCACTGACCAAGACATTTACTTCAACCTGCACGAGACAGGCCTGCTGTGGAAGATTGCGGAAGGAGATACACCATGTTTCGAGCCAGTACAAACGCCAACAGCAGGAGCCCCGCACCACAGCCGGCAGCCTGTGTGCCAACAAAGTGCACCTTGGCAGAGCACAGAGTCACAGAGAGTTACATGCAGACACTGATGCTCCAGAAGCCGAATTTTGTTACGACCATCATCGGTTTAGCATGGCACTTCACCCCATGGTGGAAGTGAGTGGCCCGCACAGCGTGCACGTAACGACTTCTGCGGAACCTGTAGCTCTTACTTGCCGACTCGACTCGAGCAACTCCCGACAGGCTGTCGATTTTTCTCAAAGTCTCGCACGAGACATGGTTTCTGGGGGACTTTCCTATTGGGAAAGTTGATTTGTTATTGAAGCCACATGCCACCGTGGGAGCTCATGCCATGCATTCAAAGCATTGGGCTATGAATTCAAAACACTGTAGGGCTGGGGTGCGTGAGGCGAATGTGTGCTGTGGTTGGGGAGGCAGAGGAGAAACGGCCCTCCAGCGAAGCTCATAATGCCAGCTTTGTGAGTCTTTGTAAGCAGTCCGATTCGGATCTAGTAACTAGTGCCAATGCCTGTGTTTCAAGGAGGGCGCTGCGCAAAGTCCCGCAGCGCCCAGCCCCACCAAGCCTGCCGCCGCAGCCGATCAGAAGGACTTTCATGGACTGTGGCAATGGAGCTTGGGGAAATACGTATGGTTTTACTTGACATTTAGAATTTATGATATCAAGGTCTGTTTGGGGCAGCGATGGCTCATTGATTTTTTTTCGGACATGTGGACTGTTTGGGATTGGAGAGTGTCAGAACGCTATTGCAGCCATCCCTGTTCTTCACGACGTGAGTCCAGATCCTTTACAGCATTGAGCCATGCCAATTCCGTCTGCAAATCTTCTAGAGTAGGCGAGCTGGGTGAAGATGCAACAGTTACAAAGCCTGTGGTGGCAAGAGGAGTCGGCTGCCTCGGCCAAGCAGCTCGGCACTGCAATGGCAACTCCCAGACACGAATTGAATGAAGTAAACAAGCTTAGGTCTTAACTTGGAGCTTAAACCGCCGATGGAGACCTTGATTGAATGTAGCAACCTGCTCAGGTATGTGATGGGCGAAACCGACACCAACGATTGCCCACCTGGAAGCAAGCCTCTGGAAGAATCAGCACCTTGGCTCGCATCTTGCTTGGCTCATCTTGGCTCAGCCGACTGGCAGGAAGATGTGGTTGCCACACTGAGGCTGAGTGTGAAGCTGCGGCGAGCAGCGTCGGGAAGACCTACATTGGGGAGGGGAACCCCGCTGAGATGGACCCCAAAGGACACCATTCACGTAGGAATACAATGGCCAGAAGGCTGTCAGCGTTCTGAGGCAGTCAGTACTGCAGTAACCCTGGAACCGTCAGTCGCAAGGATGCCAATTCAGGGTCCCGGACCAGGATGTGTATTGGAACACGCACGACACAGGCTTCTGGCTTGCAACCGTAATTGTTCACTTTGTGTGTGTGTGTGTGTGTGTCTTGAGGTACATGCGGTGCTGATGCATGGTGACTGTTTGGCATCATCGAAGGTGCTCCACATCCGGCTCGGCAGCCGATTTGCCGTGAAGCAACGACAACTTGAAGCAGACGATTCCTTCTGTTTGTAGAGTCAAGCCATGCTAATGTTTTCCAACCAGCCGCGAAGCCGTCGCACGACATCATTTAGCCTCTCACAGCCTTTCAATATGCTTCCTTGAGTTTAACAAGGGCCCTGCGACAGCTTCAAGCTATGGGGAATCCATCCTGTGCCATTCCACAAAGAAAGACTGTGTACAGGCAAGCTATCATCAGCACAAAGATTGCATTTTGCATGCCGGCACGATGAGATATCGAAAAGAAAGTTAATTAATTAAGTGAACCAATGGTTCAAGATGTGGTGCGTGATGTCAAGGAGGTCAACATAGTTTGACGGTTTGACTGTTCACGGACTAACACTAACAACGTTGATTACCCGTAAAACCACCTAATTAGTGTGGATTTATTGTGGGGGAAGAATTCAACAATGACGACTAACTTGAGGACGACGATCAATGTTTTTGCGAAGCTGTTTGCAAGCCAAGCCGACGAGCGAGAAGATGGCTGCTGCATGGGAAACTGGCGAAACATGGGAAGCTGCTGAGGAGGAGGCGCGGGAAGAAGATCCGTGCGTGGACCCGAACAGCAAGGACAGCCAGGGCTTTCGTGGATTGTGCTAGCTTTAGCAGTGTTAGCAAGAAGAGTATCCGTACATATTCTGACAAATGCGTCTAGTATTACGCTAACGTAGACCGCAGACAGCGAAGGACCACAGACCATGCAAGCAATCGCCATTTCAGGAGCACTCTCATGACGACGAGGGGAAGAAGGCTGGCGCCTTCTTACTGTCACTGATCTCCAAGAAGGACAGTGCGCGGTAGCGCCGGGCATTGGCGAGCCACGTGCCTAGCCAACGGCAAGCGGCGCAATTTCACCGTGCGGCCCAAAGACTTTGCGGAGAAGGAGGTGGAAAAAGAAGGCCTGGAAGCAGGCGGTGGCCTCGCGCAAGCAGCAGGAGTCATAGGCGCTGAAGGCTGAGGAGGGGCGTCCTCCTGACGCACAAGTCGCCGCACTCTGGGCCGCCCCTCGTGTAGCTGGGCGAGTGGTAAATTTCACATAACTCGCATTAGGATCCCGCCTTGCATGGCATTCTGTAGGCAAAATATTCATGCGATCACCAGGAAATGCAATCGCACTGGATCCTTCATGTAAGCATTGAGCAGAATGCCGGTGCCAGAAGAATGAAGATGAAAGGAATAGGTCGTACGGATGGAATAGGGGATTAAGTGGGGTAGGGGGATTCTTATAAGGTTGATTTGATTGGGATGGATTTTTTTAATACACGATTGGGAATGAAATGATTTTATTATTTGCATTTATTCTGGACGATATGGAAATATCCCCATAAAAGGCTACGGGCTCGACCCCTATTTTCGCTCTGCGGCCGCCCCGTCGGATGCCCCGCCTCCTCTTCCGGTCCATTTGGCTGCTTGTGAGGGCCTTGCAGGGGGATCCTGAAAATTCCGGGAATTTTAACACTTTTTGTCTAAAAATCCTGGGAATTTTGGGAATCACCCGGAGCTGAAAATTCCCGGAATTTTAGGAATTGTCCGGATTGAGGTTTGGGCTTGCCGGGTTGGATTTAAGGTTCCAGCGCAACAGTGATGACGTGGGTGCCCCTTCACTTTCAAGGAAATCTTCAAGGAAATCTCTTGGTCCAGGGTAGTTCCGATGACGGTCGCCGCCCGCCAGCTGTTCAAGGGGGTTCGGCTTCTTCACGATCACATATCAGCAACAGCTCTCGAAAAATCCTAGGAATTTAAATTCCGGGAATTTTCGGGATCCCCCGGGTTCAGGGTTTTACGCTTTACGGTGTAGGGTTTTGGGGTTTAATAGAAATTGTATAGGGTTTGTGTCCGGAGTTTTGTCGTGTTTGGGGGGGTTTTGTTTTTTGCTTTTGCTGTAATGGTTTGGGTTCTGTCGGGTGTGGTGGGGGGTGGGTGGTTTTGGGGTGCTGAGGGGTTGGGGCTGAAAGGCTGGGTTTTGGGGGGTTTTCCCGAATGCCCGTGGTGGTGGTCCCGTGGTGGTGGTCCGTGGTCCCGTGGTGTTCGTCGTGGTGGTCCCACAGATCCTTTGGTAGTGGTGGTCTGTCGTGGTGGTGGCGGTGTCCGTGGTGGTGGTGGTGGTGGTCCCTGGTGGCCGTCGTGGTGGTCCCATGGTGGTGGTCCCATGGTGGTGGTCCCATGGTGGTGGTTGGGTGGCGGTGGTCCGTGGCGGTGGTCTGCGGTGGTGGTCTCGTGGTGGTGGTTCCGTGGTGGTGGTCCTGTGGTGGTTGTCTCGTGGTGGTGGTCCCGTGGTGGTGGTCTCGTGGTGGTGGTCCCGTGGTGGTGGTCCGTGGTGGTTGGTCCGTGGTGGTGGTCTGTGGCGGGGGTCCGTGCGGGTGGTTGTGTTGGTGGTCGTGGTGGTGGTCTCGTGGTGGTGGTCTCGTGGTGGTGGTCTCGTGATGGTGGTCTCGTGGTGGTGGT